TAAATAAACATTATCATTCCCTCCATACAAAAAGTCTCTGATGATGACTGTGGGCTTCTTTCTTTCTCTTTTTTTACCATTAAATTTTCTTCCATGATATTTTAAAATTTTGTCTTCAGGTGTACATACATTTTTTACACACATACACACATGCACACTGGGGTTGAGGAACCCTTATCCAAAATTCTTAGGACCAGAAGTATTTGGCATTCAGACTTCTGATTCTGGAATATTTGCATATGCACAACCCGCTGCACCTCTGCATATGCGTAATGCATAGTTGCATAGACATAACAGATGTATACTTGCATATGTATAGGCAGCGGTATATTTGCATATTCATAATCGTCTGTCCCAGGGATGGGACCCAGGTCTGAGGACATTAACCATCTGCACGTCACGTGCACCTCGTACATGAGGCACAAAGGCGGTGGCAGGAGTCTCAGTGGGCAAGGTTTTGATGCCAGCCAGTCCTGTGAGGCTGTGTGGAACACAACTGCCCCCCTCGCGGCATCAGGCTTTCAGTCAAGAGCTTTGGATTTAGAGGCATTTTGGATTTCAGAGCTTTGGGTGAGGAACACTCATCCCTTGTGTCCTATTTCTTGGTCACAGTGTGTGATGGGTGTAACGCAGCATGTCCTGCACATCCTGTGTCCCTGTGTCACCTGGCATGTGCTCTGCACACAGCCCCATCTCTATCCCAGCTGCCCAGTTCTCAGCATCTCCTCCTCCCCACACCCTCTAGAAAACTATGTTTATTCTTACTTTTTTTTATGTTCATAAAATAAAATGCAAATAGATATTATTAAACATAGTATTTCCCCTACACAAAAGTCTGCCTGTCACATGCCCTCTTCTGTAATAGAACAGTGTCCTTAATGATGATCTTTGCCCTTTATTAGCTAAACAGCTTCCACGTTCTTTTTGACAGCTGTATAGTATTCCAGCCCAGTTGGTCACACACCTTGATGTGGCATGCAGTGCTGCCCTTTCCTGTCCCAGCCCCTGTCCCCCAGCCAACCACCACTCAGGAACAAGCCTGGCACAGCTGCTCCTTTCTGCAACAGGTCAACCAGGGGTCAGCAGCAAACTGCTTCCATTCTGTTCCCTGCACACAGAGACCTTGGCTGGTCTTGCTGTCTGGTGGCGTTGAGTGCCAGGCACACGCTCTGCCTGGCGAGAGGAAGCTGCGGAGGGCGGCTGCGTCTGCAGTGGCATCTGCTAATTCTGGCTCCCACCCGGGCCCAGACCCATTGCTAATTCACTGTGGGTTCCTGGGCAGCTCGCCCTGCTTGGGGCAACAGGCTAGCGATGGAAACACTTGGGGAAGGGCTCGTCCCGTGCCCAGTGCTTCCCTCAGCGACCTCCCACGCCTCCTCCCATTTAATTGCACAAACAGCGAATGTGGCTAGTCACATTATTTTCCCCACTGCAGGTTTCTGAGGCTCAGAGAGCTTGAGTAACTTGCCCAGTGTCACACAGCACGCAGGGCTGGGCTTCGATCCCAGCAACCTGGCTCCAGGTTTCTCAAAGGGTAAATGTGGTGTGAGTTGGAGCACGTGGACCAGACCTGGTTTGTAGTACTTGGGAGCTGCTGTCCTCACTACCTGCCAGAGCCCTGGGAATTTGGCCGCGGGGCATAGGCACAGAGGGGGCTGGGAAATGCCGCACACACTTATGAAAGCCAAGATTCAAATCCACCCCGAGGGATTTCTGAAAGCGCCGTGGGGGTGTGCAGCCGGCGAGTCAGGTGGGAAGTGCTGGGCAGTGTGGACGGCCTGCTATGGGGAGCTGAGCCCCGGAGCCCTACTTTGAGCCCCAACTCCAGGCCCACGCCCACACCAGGCTCTCAGTGTGCAGTGTGCAAAGGATTTGCACCCCTTGCTCGCTTGTCTTTGCAACAAGCAGAGAGGCGAAGAAGTTAGTGAGCTTTTCTTGGCAGAGGAAAAAACGCAAAACGCCTAACCACAGAATTCTCCAAAATATTGCTAAGCACTAATTTTGCTAACATGTTAGGCAGCGCGCGGATCCAGGCAATCTTGTTCCTTGGCGGGAAGCGGTTCCCAAAAGCCACGTGACCCCCATCCACCCTGGGCCGTGTGGGGAATGAGGAAACCGGCTCTGCTGCCCTCGCCCGCCAGCCGAGCTGAGGGGGGTTTTCCGGGGCCCCCAAGGGCGCCAGCCCGGGGTGAGCCCAGCCTCCCCTGCGCTCTCGGACCGCAGGGCCACTCACAGTGGACAGGGCCGCCGCCAGCTCTGTCACAGCTGCCTGGGGACCACGGCGAGGTCAGTGTCTTGACCAAAACGGGCTAAATAACGAAGCAAGTGGGATAGCATCGCTGTTAAGAAAGTAATGAGTCACAAATGCTATTTTGATGGTTTTCTTTGAAAGAAATACACAGAACCAAACCAATTTTAATTAAAGATCTTGTCTTTGTAATCAGGCAGCCACAAATGAAGCCAGACTGCTTTCATGTGGCACAATATACACAGAGCCGAACGACTTTGCCCATAAAAGGGCAGGGTTTTTTTTTTTCTCCCTAAATAAGAAAATAGTTTGTTCTTCACAATATGGGGGACGCGAGGAAAAGCTGCCTTCTGCAGAGTATAGAATTGCGAATCCTCCCGTGGATAACCACGTCGGACGTTTGCCAAACTCACATGCCGGCTGGGATTACCCCGCTCTTTGAGATTAGACATGTGATCCTGATTTCTAAGTGAAAAACACAGCTGAAAGCTAAGTAAACATACCTAGGGTGCATCTGAAGCTGGATGGCGGGGCGGGCTTGTAACGCACCGCAGTGTGTATGTCTGTGGGAAGCTCAACCTGAATATGAAAAAGCGATGTTTGGATTTTGAGTTTTCAAACTGCAGCAGAATTGCCATACCTCCCCAAGCGTGTCCTCTGAACCCGGCAGAGATAATCATTTTCAGTTAAATGTGCATGTAATTTAATAATCCCCGGGAAGGCGAGCACATCCAAGGTGGCCCCGGCACGGCCATGCATTCTTGCTTGGTGGCGGGCTTGGGTGGCGTCTCTGCTGAGTCTTGGGGTGGCGGCGGGGTGTCTTGCAGGGAGCGCCTGGTACATCACCCGGGTGCATCTTCCCAGCCTGGCCACATCTTCACACGTGCTGGTGGCCTCTCCCGTGGAGGCAGACCCTGGGCTCCTCTGGTCACAGGGAGCCTGGGGCTGGTGCTGTCGTGATTCAGCTGGCCTGGGCAGGCCTCAGGCAGCAGCAGGGCCCAGGCGCCTGCTGGCTCCCAAGTTTTTTTTTGGAGATAGGGTCTCATTCTGGAGCCCACACTGGCCCCAAACTTGAGGCAATCCTCCTGAGGATTGCCTCAAGGAACATGCCACAGAATTCTCCAAAATATTGCTAACATGTTAGGCAGCAGGATTGCCTCTTGCATGTTCCTTGAGGCAATCAGCCTCCCACATGCTGGTATTACAGTGCATGCACCGCCAGGCCCAGCACTCCCCAGGTTTCTTGTGGCGTCTCCGCAGCCCGACTGACCATCTCTGGGGCCGTGCAAGACGTGAACAGTGATGCCCAGTAGGGACCAGAGCACGGGACAGGGACACAGAGGACACCAGAGAAGGCCTCAGTGCGGAGGTTCCGCCTGTGACAGGTGGTTACGGTTCTGGCGGGTGACACGGCCCCTGGACACTGGGCAGCGTCACACAGGCCATGGGGACGGCACTTCCCTGTGGCTGCAGCGGACGGCATCTTGGCTGAGCCAACGTGGCTTCAGCCGGGCAGCATCACCCGCCTGGCTCGGCCCCAGCCTCAGGAACCAGCCCCAGTGGGGGGACCTCCGTGACCCGGGCTGCTCGGACCCCGACCCCTCCCTCTGCACCTCCCACCCCCCCGTGCAGGCGGCAGCTCCTGCCTCGAGGTCTGGGTGGGTGCAGCCTGGAGCCCCAGCCGCCCTCTCCATCTCCCTCCAGGTCGGAGGCTGCGTGCCATTTGCATCCCTTGCAAACAGCTTTTAAATGCCATGAGCTTTCAACACAGAATTTCCATACAACCCAGCATTTCCACTCCTCAGCATCTACCCAGGAGAATTGAAAACATCTGTCCACACAAGCCTCTTGCATGTTCCCAGCAGCACCCCCACCGCAGCGCCTGGCGCATCCGGAAGGTGGAGAGCCCTGCATCCACCAGCTGATGGCATGCTGTCACCACACAGTGGAATATTATTCAGCCAGCAAAAGGCATGAGGCACTGAAAACACTGCCATCTGCTAGGCCTGGTCACGTGAGGCTGCAGAGAGAGATGGACACACCAGACCTGTGCGCATGTCCACCAGGCAAGTCCCTGAGCCCGTCCTCTTCTAGGTATCTTCCCAAATTTTAAGTTAAAGACATTGTACCACAGTGAAGCAGCCCAGATGCCCATCAGCAGATGAACGGGTAAAGACAGTGTATTCACACACAGTGAGCACTACTCTGCCGTAAAGAAGGATAAACTTGAGTTATTTGTAGGAAAACGGGTGCACCTTGAGACCATAAGTTTAAGTGAAATTGATCAGACACGAGCCTCAATATCGCATTGTTGCTCTTATATGAGAAACCCAAAGCATAAACAGCAAATAAGAGCCCGACGGCAGGAAGTCAAGAGACAGAGCGCTTGTGAATGCAGAGGGGACCAAGAGGCGGGGAGGGCAGGGGAGAGGGGTGGACAAAGAACGATGCAGGAGGCACAGTGCACGGCTCCCACGGCTCCCACGGCTCCCACGAAGGGTGCAGAAATTCTACCGCAAGCCCATGAAAATCAAAATTTGAAACACGGGGCAGGGGGCGCAAACCCAGAGGCAGGAGCGGCCGCCGAAGGGCTGCGGTGGAGTTGGTGTTGGCACTTCAGGAGCAGAACGCCCAGTTGGAGGCCTAAGCAAGGTTACAGAGGCGAATTTTAGGTTGCTTACGTTTTACCCCCAAAACATTTTACAGCTGCATTTTACAGCTGCAGTGACCTGTGCTCCTCTCCTCTAGACACCCGAGGGGACCTCGGTGACCACGGCCACTCCGCCCAGAGCTGGACTGCCCCGGGCACTGACCCAGCCTCGGGCAGGGGTCGGGGGCTGCTGGCATCCACTGCTCTTCTGGGAAGTGCGTCTCTCTCCTAACTTCCCTAACTTCTGTTTCCAAGGAGGAATTGTAGGGTAGGAAAACATGGAGGGGAAAGTGGAGAACACCCCCCCAGCTCCCCTTCTGAGTTACAGTGGAGCCCCGAGTTGATACATTGTCATCTGTCCAAGCCCGGGGTCCCTCCCGCTTCTTGTCCACAGAGGGGAGAATGTATCAGGACAGGTATCCACCCCAACGCAAACTCCCGGTGGACACAAGTTTGCTACTGCCAAGGTTGTAGTTCTGTAAACAAATGCTGTTTACACGGACCCCCGGCCCAGATGTCCTGGCTCCAGATGCAAACAGTGCCGCTCCCTCCCGGCCCCTCACCCCTTCCTGCCCCACCCTGCCCACCGCCCCTCTTGCAGCTGGGTCCCATTGCCTATCCAGGCTGGCTCCTTGCACTGAGGGGTACTTTCCTCCAGGTCTTCCTGTGATTCGGGAGCTGAGCTCTTTTCAGACCTGACTTTCCAACGTCCTTCGGGCCGTTTCTTTTCCCTCCGTTCACCTACCCCAGCTGGCCTCCACTCATGGAATCATGATGAAGCTGCTAGAGGCTTCTCCCCGCATAGCTTCTCCATCTAAGCTTGTAAATCAGTTGTGTAAATACCGGGGAGTGTGACTGCTGATCACAGGAAGAGTGCGTTTGGCTCTGTGAGGAACTGCCCTGAAGGAGAAGGCCTGTTATCCACACCCTCTCCAGCTCTATGTGTGGCCAGTGTTTGGGATTCTAGCTATTCGATAGGTATGCTGGGGTATCTCGTTGTATTGTTTTGTGTCTTTTTGAGACAGGGTTTTATTATGCAGTTCAGGCTGGCCTTGAACTCAAGGTGATCTTCCTGCCTCAGCCTCCTGAGTACTGAGATTATAGGTGTGTGCCGCCATGCCTAGCTTCGCTGTCATAAACTCTGTGTGTGTGTGTGTGTGTGTGTGTGTACAGTGTGGAGGTTGAGGCTCAGAGGCCTTCCACTACTGAGCTACATCTCAACCCTTTTTATTTCTTTATTTTGAAACAGGGTCTCGCTAAAGCACTAAGTTGTCCAGGCTGGGCTCAAACTTGCAATCCTCCTGCCTCAGCTTCCCAGGTACCTGGGATCACACATGTGCACCACCGTACCCGCATATAAACTCTTCATGGAGGAAGCCACCCAGATGGGAAGGTGCACGGATGCAAGGGGACAGCGCTGTCATGGTCACCCCTGGACACAGCCCTGCAGCGGCCCCAGACCGGGGCATCAGCAGCTCTTGGGTGCACTCACGGCTCAGGTGCAGCCATGCGCGAGGCCTCGGCTCTGCCCTGGTACAGCTGCCGCGTGAGGAGGGCATCTCCGTGTGACCACAACAGTTTTAAAAATGCGGCTCTTTGTGGGATCGCCACTCCTGCAGACTCCGGACTCGGAGGCGGAGGTGACTTACATGGAAGTGACAGAGGTGTGGGGGGAAACTTGAGGAGGCGGAGTCATCTTTCAAAGGGAAGGTGATCTAATACCCCAGTACCCGGAGCCGGGCACTCCCTGGAGCCTGGCTGGGACTTCCTGGTTCTGTTTAGACGGTCCACCACATGCCCAGCGGGCAGCGGGATGGCTCCCTTGGGCTCTGTCCTGCCCTGAACTTTGGGCACAGCTGGTACTCAGGAGGGGAGGGGTGACCACCGGCCAAGGGGTGTGTACACCCTGGGTCAGGGTCGGGGTCAGGGCGCCTCGCTGAGCCCCGACAACCACTTGGGGAGCAGCCCAGTCAGGTGCCCACTGCAGTTTGAAACCAGAAGGTGACGGGCAGCATGGGCAGCGGGACGTCTGTGCCCCCTACCTGGGGCTCCAGGCAGCATCGCAGGCCTGGCTTGCGGCCCATCCGCACACAGCAGGGTCCTCGGTGAGCCCTCCCCGGCCTTCCCACCGGCTCATCCTCGCCAGCCAGCAGTGTCCCCTTGGCCAGCACGCCCTGCAGCCGCAGCCAGGACTCGACCTCCCTCCCGATGCTTTTCCGGCTCTTCCACTACTCAGCACCCCAGCACTGTGGGCTCCACACTGTCAGGAGGGTTCCAGAAACCGCTGAAGCCCTAAGTAACTGGTGCTGAAAGGAGGCAGTTTTTTCTCCTCTTTCACAGCAGGGTCTGGGGGAGGCTGGCCCTGCCGTGGCACGGCGTCTACAAACTCCCGGTGCTAGCTATGGCTTGCCCTGAAGTGCCTCTGTTCTAGACACACACTTCAGTGTCCCCTACCTTCCGGCGGGGAGAGGAAAGGCCCACTGCAAGGGGGGGCAGGGCCAGCGGGGTGAGATCTTGCTTTGTTTGCTTGTTGATTTCTGCTTGACCTCACTGCTGCAGGGTAACGGCCTGGCATCTGCTAGCTGCAAGGGAGGCTGGGAAATGGGGCCACACCCCCCTCCACAGCAAGGCCCTGTGGCTGTGCTGGCCTGTGCATCCCCAGGGCTCATGCAGAGCCAGGATTGGCGGTGATGCCGCACTGAGTGGAAAGGTGACAGCCAGGCAGGGGCGGCAGTGGGACCTGTGTCTGCAAGTGGCGCTAAGGGCCCAGGGCTGGGGGATGAGGAGGCCCGTGGTGGGGGCTACATCAGCAGCGCAGAGCCTGACCTCTGGCTCCCGCAGTCGCAGGTGAGGCCGCCTGCTGCCTACACAACCTCTGTCCAGCCAGGCTGCACCCAGCTATCAGCAGGGTCATCTTCTATGGCCCAGTTAGCAGTGGAGCCCCAGACTGCACGCAGACAGGAGCTGACTGCAGTGGATAAGGTTGAGAAGAAAAGCAAGAAAGGGGCAGGCCACGGGGGGCAGTCACCTCAAACCTGCCAGCCGGGACGAGAGCAGGGCTGTGGAGCCACCCACGCATGTCCCCACGTGGTGTCGCAGCTGGGGCTCCTTAGATCCTACTCGGGGCCTCCACACGCGAAGGCCTGCCATTCCTTTCCTCCTGGCGGCCCCCTGCTCTCCGCCCTCTGTCCCCTGAGGCCTCACTGTGTGTGTATCCAACCTCCTTGGACAGAAATGACAATGAGGCCCAGAGGAGGCCATGCGCTGCCCCAGGTCCCAAGAGTTCGGGACCTCCTCACTCGCAGGTCACTGGCTTCCGGGTTCCGTCCCTCTGCAGGGTCCACTGTGAGAGTCGCCCGCCCCTGGCCCTCGTTCCCGGGACAGGAACGTGGGTTCCGATGTCAGGAGTGTACCCCGTTCCTACTGGGGGGCTCCGGGTGCCATTCCAGCAGTCGCTTCACCCTACTGACAGCATTGCTAGAAGGAAACTCCCTCTCCTTCCTGGGATGGGAAGCTGAGGTTCCAGCAGGTGGATGAGTGATGTCCTGGGGGAGATGCCTTCCTACCCACAGGCACCTCCTGCCCTCCGCCCTCCGAGCAGGCTGTCCCCACCCCAGTGCGACTGGGGCACTGGGTCCCAGGGGAACTGTCTTTGCCGGGGTTCTGCACCCAAGGTCTCTTCCCCGCGGCTACACAAACGGCTGGGACTCAGAACCAAGGGACCCCAAGGCATCGAGACACGGCAGCGTGTTTGAAATGCGAGTGGACCACAAGCCATCCACCTTCCTGACAGAGCACCCCCACACGATCATTAAAATACTCGAACCCCCACATCCGACTCAGCCTCCGCCGTTAGGAGTGGGTCTGCCCCGGGCCGCCCTCGCTCCACGCTCTCAGATACGGCCTCTCGCTAATTATCCCTCCGGTTGCCTGGCCTGGTAACTGTTGCACTTGGACATAGACGGCACACTTTCCCCACATCTGCTCCAGATTTGCATGTCGGAAATTAGAGAACTTAGCTACGTGGTATTATACGACACTTCGGGCCGGGCCCGGAGGACGGGCTGATCGGGTACTCTGCCCGAATGAGACGACTTTCAAGCTCTTTCCAGGAAATTGACTGGAACACGCAACCCGCCATCCAGGATCGAATATTATACTCATACAGCCGCTCTGCAGAGTTCCTGGGCACCCAGCATCTGGGAGCGAAATTTATAAATGGAGAAACTAAATACCTGGGTGGACTGGGGCTCATCAGAGCTAAGAAATTAGAGTATTACCGTGTACACTCCAAGCCGGGCCACTTAGAAAGGTAGGGCTATTAAAATATGATTAGCCGCGCTGTATTTTGTCTCAGAAATGTCATAGACCATTAAAGTTAAAAAGACTTCGAGGCAAGCCCCTGGCCCAGGCTCTGCCCTGCTCTGAGAAGGTTCTCTGCAAGCATCGGCCTCCCCGGGAGGGGTCTGGGCTACCCCGCGCCGCTCTGCACAGGCCCGCAGAGGTGAGGAGGGCTTGCCGTGAAATCTAACACAGTGCCGAGAAAACCTGGGTGATTGCCGTGTGTAACAGGAGAAAGAAAATCAAGCAGCAGAATTACTGCCCGCCGCTGCTGGCCAGCCTGGTTTTATAAATAAAGTTTTATTGCTCCCAGGGCCAGCCAGGCAGTACAAGGTAAGGTTCATATCCTGTCCTTAAAGTTTTGCTGCTGTCAATTTTTAAAAATTTTGACTTGTTAATAAAAGGCTGATTAGGATACTGCCTTGATTGCTGAGATTTTCAGTATCCGTGTAAGTTTTGTGCTCAAAGCAAATCTCTCCCTCAGGTCACCCCAGTACCAGAAGGCATTCTGGGTGACCTGTACCCTCATCCCTGGCCGAGGTCTCTTGTCTCAAGCTCCACTGGCTGTTACCCAGAGACACCCCGTGCTTAGAGGATCTTGTGTCCCCAGAACCGACCCCTTGGCCTGCCCTCCCAGCTGTCCTTTTAGGAAAGCAGGCTTCCTTCATGGACGGAGGTGGCGTGGTGGCTCCGGATCCTGCGCCATCCGCGTCCCTGCCATGTAGCACAGGGTCTCTGCTCCCAAGGCAAACGCAGCCCCCAGGCCTCCTGTCCCCACAGAATCCGTGCCTCAAGCTGGCCCTGGGATGTTGATCGCTGGCGGCTGAGGACATCTTAGAGTGACGGCCCTCGCAGGAGGTGCTGTGTGCCCGCCAAGCTACCCACGCTGCCTCCATCAGCCGCTGGCGAGGGACATAAACATCTCCGCCCACAGCCCCAGCCCCACTGTGTGCAGCGGTGGCCCTGGGGCCCAGGGAGCCCAAAGAGACCCGGGAATGACCCAGACTGGCCCTGCGGGGTCGGGGAGGGTGTCTGCGACCCTGTGGGCTGTGACCAAGGCCTGAACCTCACTCTGTGTCTGCCCTTGGGGCTCAGGTGCCTCCTTTGTGCCTGTGTAGGGAATGCAACCAGCCCTGCCTATGAGCAGCCTTGGACTTGAACGTCTCCAGCCTGAGTTAAACTAGGGAAAGCGGCTGGGCCCCGGGGCTGCTGGAGACCTCCCTACGGTGCGTGAGGAGTGGAAGCTGGGATGGCAGGCGGGGAGGCTGTACCCGTCGGGATCCCTTTTATAGCTGGTCTGCAGGGGCTGCTTCTGACGCGGGGCGGGCCTCACTGAGCATAGCTGTTCCTTGTACTGGTGAGATGCTTTTTTTTTGTTTTGTTTTTTGCAGTCCTGGGGATCAAACCCTGGGCCACTCACCACTGAGCTACATCCTCAACCTCTTTTTAGTTACTGTTTTTAGATAGGGTCTTGCTAAATCAATAAGTTACCCAGGCCAGGCTTGAACTTGAGATTCTCCTGTCTCAGCCTCCCAGAGTGCTGGAATGAAGCTACCTTTAAAGGGAGCAGGTCCCTGGTCGCCATCCACACCCACTGACTGGGAAGTGTGCTGATGGGTAGGGTTCACCTTTGACCCCTTCCCAGGTGGCTCTGATGCCCACAGATTAGAACCAGCCACTCTCGCCTGACCCCCGCCGCTCCTCTTTCTAACTCCAGGAGGGGATGTTCCTAGATTCCAGTTCCAGGCCCACCGGGCGGTCTGCAGCTGTAGCTCCTGGAGGTCCTGGCAAGACTGGGAGGTCTGAGTCCCTCCCTGAGGCATCCTGGCCCTGTGCTGAAAGCAGAGCTGCTGAGCAGGGTCCCTGAAGACAGCCCTGGGGGCACAGGGGACCGCAGTGGCCAAGGCATTGGAGCAGACAGCCATTCAAAAGCAGGTGGATGCGGAGGTGCCGGGAGGCCACTGCATCAGGACCCTGTGGGTGACTCTGTGGGCTGGTTTCTCCTCCCGCCACCAAGGCCTGGGTGGTGCCCAGACAACAAAAGTGAGCGCACTGCCTGCTGACAACACGGACTATGTGGCCTCATCAACTGCCCAGGGACCCATAAACAGGATGCCGGGAGATTCAGCCCCGCCCCGCCGTCCCCTCTGCTGTCCCGGCTGCCGGGCCCTGTCGGGGCATCATGGCTCTCAGCCTGTGGGGGCTGCTGGTCTTAGGCTGCTTGGAGGGCAGTCTGCCCGTGTCCAGGGTCTCCGTCCTCTGTGGACAGTGCACGGCTACAGTTTTGCAGGCTGACCCTGGGCAGGCATTGGCGCTGCTCTCATGCCCTGGAGAGGAGGGGAAGCCGTGACGTCACGTACTGTGCAAACCCAGGCTCACCGGTGTGCAAGGCTGCCCACCCACACCGGTGCTGACACGCTGACACGGACCTTGGGCAAAGACTTAAGAAAACCGCTCCCTGCAGGCCTAATTCCCTTGTTAAATGGGAACAATACCCGTAGGGCTGGGCGGGCTTGGTTGGGTATGACATTAGTTCAGCCCTACGGAGCCGTCACGCTCAGCAAGTGCCCAGCGCGTGGCAGCTCTGGCAGACACCTGCCCCTCGCTCCCTCACGCTGTTTGCTTTTCTTTCTTATTTCATTTTGCTCATTTGCCCCATGTGTCCCCATCATCAGCCACCCCCCGACACACACCCTCATCCCACCTCCACCCCATCCTCAGCCTGATTCCTGTTATAGGCAGCAGCTTCCCTCCCGGTACCCAGTTGATCTTACTGGAGCACCTCTAAAGCTTTCACATCTGGGATCCTACACGAAAATCCAAGTGTCCCCTGGTAACACGGTGAGCAGGATCTGGACCCAGCAATGTCCAGGTGAATAAACCGAGAGGGAGCTGTGCAGGCAGTGGGCCGTCTGAAGATCTGAACTTGGGAAGGGAAGAATCACCCTCCACCCTCTTGCCATTGACCTATTCATCCCCCATCCACTCGTCTGCTCACCACCTTATCCACTCACCCATCCACTCACCCACTCATCATCCACCTCCCACCCACCCATCAACCCACCAATCCATCCATCCACCCACTCATTCATCCATTTATCCCTCAGTCATCCATCTGTCCATCTATCCACCCACCCACTTACCAAGCATCCGGTTCCCCTCAGTCCCCCTCTTTCTACCTACCCCTCTGCTCATCCACTTGTCTAGTCATCTGTCCTTCCAATCCATCCATCTACCCACTCATCCACCCCCATCCATTTGTTCTCCCACACACGTATCTGTCTATCCACCCATCTAGTTATCCAGCCGTCCTCTCATCCATCAAGCTACCCATCCCTCTGTTCACCCATCCATCCACCCATTTGTCCATTCCCCCAGGCACTCACCCACCCATCTGTGCAAAAAGTACAAAGTAATCACTGGAGGTCACCATGTACTCCTTGTTTAACCCCCGTGACAACCTCCCAGATGGGTCCTACTATTACCTCTTTGGACATGGAAGGAAGCTCAGTGACCTGTTCAAGGCCATACAACTCCCACTAGCAGGAGCAGCAGCTGGCTTCATCTTGTGGACCTCCCCACATCAGAGCCCAGAGTTGTCCCCTTCACAGCAACCTGCCCCTTCCAAGGAGTGAAAAGTGAAGGTGGGTGATGCACCATCATGTCCCCCTCTGATTTCAGGTGACATGAGTGCCCCCAGGAGTTTTACAGACTTCCCCATCCAGTCGAAGCTTCCCTGCTAGGGGCCAGGGTTTGGGCCTGGATAGCCTCAGGGGCCCCGCTGCATGCAGAGTCCAGGGAGGTAAGCACTGAGGCTGGATTTGGGGACTTTTCTTGGAACGAATGTGTCCAATCCATCAGAGCCTTGTACAGTCGTGTCTGGAACAAAACCACATTTCCTGTGTTTACTGAAGCTTTATGTAGGATGAGCACAGACCCAGGTCATTGCGGCCCAGAGGTACATTCCAAGGGACCAGCTGCCCAGGAAGTCAGCCAGGGATGGGGCTGGGAGACACCCGGTGAAGGTGCTGGGGTCAGGGACAGGTAGGAGGGATCCCTGGGATCCAGGGTGTCTGGTCATCCAAGATGGTGGCGAGTAGGTGAAGAGCAATGTCACCCTTTGCTTCTTTAGAGAGGTGAGGCAGGAGGCTATTCCTCAACTACTGACCTACTGAGCCCAGGACTCAGGTTCAGCCCCTTTAGGGAAGAGTGGGCCAATCAGCATCATTGCCATTACTGTCACCATCAGCAGCATCACTACATCATCACCATCTTCATCACCACAACTGCCATCAGCATCATGATTACATCATCACCATCACTATTACATCATCACCATCTTAGCCATCATAACCACCACCATCACCACTACCATCGCCACCACCATCGCCATCACCATTACCACCGTCACCACCATCATCACTATCACCACTATCACCACCATCACCATCACCATCACCACCATCATCACTACCATCGCCACCACCATCACCATCATCACTGTCACCACCACTATCACCACCGTCACCACCACCACCACTATCACCACCGTCACCACCACCATCACCATCACCATCACCACTGTCACCACCACCACCATCACCATCACATCACCATCACTATCACCACCATACCACCACCGTCACCACCACCATCACCACCATCACCACCATCACCATCACCACTTTCACCACCACCATCACCACCATCACCACCATCACCACCACCATCACCATCACCACTTTCACCACCACCATCACCACCACCATCGTCATCACCATTACCACCATCGCCATCACCATCACCACTGTCACCACCACCATCACTATCACCACTATCACCACCATCACCATCACCACCATCACCACCACCATCACCACCACTGTCACCACTGTCACCACCACCATCACCACCACTGTCACCACCATCACCACCACCATCACCACCACTATCACCACCATCACCACCACCATCACCACCACCACCACTATCACCACCATCACCACCACCACCATCATCATCGTCATCACCATTACCACCATCACCATCACTATCACCATTACCACCATCACCACCATCACCATTACCACCATCATCACCATCTTCACCATCAACATTATCATCACCATCACCACCGTCACCACCACCATCACCATCACATCACCACCACCATCACCACCATCACCACCACCATCTCCACCATCACCACCACCATCACCATCACCACCATCACCATCATCTTCACCATCAACATTATCATCACCACCAACACCAACACCATCACCACCATAAGCATCACCACCATCATCACCACCATAAGCATCACCACCATAAGCATCACCACCATCATCACCATCATCATCACCACCACCATCACTATTGCCAGCATCACCTTCACCATCATCATCACCATTGCTATCACCATTGCATCACCA